CGCTATATGTTGAGATTTAGGGTTGGTTTGGAATGTTCTAAAAAAGTGTACTTTTTTACTTATTGACTTATATGGGTTGGATTTGGGTTGGATTTGATGTGATGTACTAGAGAGGTGATGTGATTTAAATAAGATGGTGTGACTTAAATAGGATAGTGACTTTATTATTTAGTAGATGCCAAACTTGGCCTTAGTTTCTTATGTTTGGCATAAGTTTTTTTTTTTTTTAGTCCAAAAAAAAAAAAAATTAAAAAAACAAAATGTCACATTTAAATTATAATCATTTTATTTTTTCTCTTACAAAAATTAAAAAAGTTAAAAAGTCCATCCCAAACGAAACTTTTTAACCCTAAACAAAAATAGTCTAAAAACTAAAAAGTCAATTCACATCCTAAACAAAGATAGATTATGTTAATAAAATTACACTACATATTGAGGTTTGGTTTACTATAGATTATGTTAATAAAATTACACTACACCCCTTAAATGTTCCATTTGTTAATCAATTAAGGTCAAACTCATAAAAAATTGTTGATGTAAGCAATTACTTATTGAAATACCAAATTTACTAATTATTGCATATGTTTTCCTCTCTCTTATAATTTTATTCTATCTCAATCAAAATTAGACAGATGAATATCTCAAAGATTATAAACCCTACAAGTGAAGAACATAATAAAGGCACCACCGGCCACTAGTCTCTTCCATCATTTCTTACTACGCCACCATGGTCATGGACCACTGCTCTCTTTCATCCACCGTGGCACATTTTGGCGGTGTTTGGAAAGGAGGTTTATTTGTTTTTTTGTTACTGTTTTTTTTCATTAAAAGACAAATTGATTACAGAATAATTAAAAAAACAAATCTAAACAAAATATCATATCAAACTCTATAATCAGTTTACTTTTTCTCTCACAAACATTACATCTAATTACAAAAAAACCTAACTATCTTTCCAAACACAAAATTTTTTTCTCCAATAATATCCTACAACTAAAAAAACCCACTTTCCAAACACTCACTTTGAAAAATAAGCTACAAGTAATTTTTTTTTTTAATTTTTTTGATTCTTTTTTTTAAAAAAATATATATAAAAAAAACATAAAGAAATGATGTGACTTTAAAAAAGAAGAAATCAGAAATTAACTAATTGATTACAAAATAATAAAAAAAACAAATCTAAACAAAATATCATATCAAACTCTATAATCATTTTACTTTTTCTCTCACAAATATTATATTTAATTACAAAAAAACTCAACTATCTTTCCAAGCATAAAATTTTTTTCTCCAATAATACCCTACAACTAAAAAAATCTACTTTCCAAACACTCACTTTGAAAAATAAGCTACAAGTAATTTTTTTTTTTAATTTTTTTGATTCTTTTTTTTAAAAAAATATATATAAAAAAAACATAAAGAAATGATGTGACTTTAAAAAAGAAGAAATCAGAAATTAACTTTTAACCTAATTATCAAAATAAACCTATATTTTCTACTACGCAGCTGATCAATCATTGTTGCTAATTGGAGGACAATCAAAAATTGGTGCTTAATCATTTTCGTCACTTCGGGTTGTTAGTAGGTGATGCAAACAGGACTAGGGTTTGTCAGTGAGTTAATGGAGTCAACCGAAAGTGTTTAAGGCTTGGTTTAGGAAGTTGACTTTTAGTCAATTTTTTTTGTTTGTAACAAAAGTCAAAATTAGTTTTTTTGAATTTTTTTTTCATTTGAGAAGTTGATTTTTAGTCAATAGTGAAATTATAATTCTGTCTCTCATGAGTCAAAATCTATTATAAGAGTGAAGTTGTAACTATTTTAAACTAAATAGAGATAGTTTGGTCATTTTATTATGATTTGATATTATAAACAAATATTAATAAAAAAAGTTAAAAGTCACTTTTTACTAATTTTTCAAATCATTTGCATAAAAAAGTCAAAAACTTGATTAAAAGTTAAAAAATCACTTTTTATCATCTTCTTAAAATAGGCCTAAATTAAAACAAACTTAAAATGTAATGATTTTTAGTTAATGGTGTAAAGTGAGAATTGATCCATAATTAAGGAGGCACAAAGTGTAATTTGTCCATTATTTTAAAAATAATGCAACGTTTTGTTTCATTTTATTGTGTGAAAGTGACAAGTAAAGTCATACGACATTTTTTATGAGTCTCTTCCAAACTTGGCTTTGTGAACAACAACATAAACTTTGTTGACGCAATCCCTTATCAGTGAGATTGGAAATCAATCGAATTGTTTGCAAGCTATTAACTCCGCTTTTTTGTTTTTTGTTTTTTGTTTTGTTTTATTTACTTATTTATTTATTTTGTGTTTGAACTGAGTTTAATTCGTTAAATAAATAAATAAATGAATTTGGGCTTAAATTTTTGATTCGTTTGGTGCCGTTTGGTAACACTTACGTTTTCAGTTTTCTGTTTATATTTATTAAAATTTTAAAAACTCAAATAAAAACTTGTTTGGTAAAATTTTTGATTTATAAATCAGTGGTCTCAGTTTATAAATTTAGCCAAAAAATGAAAACACAAAAAATGTGTTTATCGTCCCCATTAACTAGGAAACTTTTTTAATAATTAAGCATATTACTACACACACACACATATATCTTTGGTGGACTCTCAACTTGATTTGGATGAGTCTTTTCACTTTTTGGCCACTACACCATATTTGTCATTTGCCTTCTGCAACTCATCTACCCACAATTTCAAATTCATCAAGCTTCAGTGTGTATGGCAGATATGTTAATTTTTGGAATTTACTCGCTACACGGTTTCGTCTCTAAGCAACATGGTAAGTGTAGATGGGAAGAGAAAAAAGAGATAGGTATATGCAACCTCGCCCCTGATTGGGTTACAAATAAGTTGAGTTGAGCGGAGTTATAAGTTGTTCAAATTGGACTTGAAAACTTAACGAGTTTTAATAACATGTTCAAAGTTTTTTTACTAGGCATATATTCTTATCGGCAGTGATTCATCCCCCGAAAATGGGGAGCCCGAATCCCCCTAATTTCCATTTCAGGTAAAAAAAAAAAAGGAAAAAAGAAAGAAAAAAGAAAACAGTTTCTAAAAATGGAAATTAGGGGCATTAGGGGCAAATTTTTTAGGGCCACCAATCATTTTCCCTCAAAAAATATCAAACCGAACTCAAATTAGATAATGGAAAATGTCTCGTAGCTCAAATTTTGTGGCTCAAAAGTGGCTCAAATGGTCAAAACGACGTCATTTTGGCCATTTTTATGTTGTTCTGTACTCAAAACGACGTCGTTTTGGCCATTTGAGCCACTTTTGAGCCACAAAATTTGAGCTACGTAGCATTGTCGTTAAATAATTTAGCTCAATAAACAAACCAACAATCCTACAAACCCGGCTTGACTCAATTTATTTGTTTGTAACAAACATACTAATCAGACGAATGGGCTAATAATAGTCAGTGATTTTCATGAACCCAACCATCCCTTGGGGGCATGAGAGCTTTGATTGTCTATCTTTTTTTAAGAATTTGTACACCTTTTTATTATTATTTAGAATTGTTTTTTGGCAAATTACGCTCATAATTTTTACACTTTATTTTTTGCATTAATTTTTTCTATATTATTTTGGTTTATATAATTTTAGAATAATGTTTGGACCCCCTTTTGGGGGTCACCCCTTTGCTACGTGGCGGGTGGTGATTGGAGGAAAAAAAAGAAAAAGAAAAAGAAAATGTAACCAATGAGAGAGAGAGGGAGTCAAAGGTGGTGGGAGAAAAAGGGGGATGAATCATTGTTGATAATTTTAATGGCCATGTGACTGTATTTTAGGAGTACCCAATAGCTTCGCAAGTTTAATTACTTTAATTTAAATTTTTGTATCAATTTGATATTGCTAAGTTAAATAGAATAAACGTAAATTTACCATTTTATCACCAAAAAGAACAACAAATGTATTGTGTGCGTCTTTCTTTTTATATTATTTTTATAAAAAAATAATTAAAAACTCTAATAGAAGTTATCAATTAGACCAAAATAATGGTTATGTTTGGTTTAATTATCATTATATCATTATATATTTTCACAAATCTTTTTAAAAAATTAAAATTTAATTTGATGAAAAAAATTAAAAATGCTCATCATTTTCATATAATTTTATATTTTAGGAGGATAGAAATAATTTCTTAAAATACAAAAAAACAAAAACTTTTTGGTGTTTATTGTTATTAAACTATTTTCTATTTTTTCAAAAAAAATTAGAAAACAATTTATGAAAAAAAAAAAACAGTGCCAATATAAAGGAACAAAATATAGGACTACTAACGTAATTCATCTAAAAAAATTATTATTAATTATACATATATAGACAGTAAAATCTTGACAATTAAAGTTATTGAAGTAAGTTTTAAATATATTTTTAACAGCAATATTAATTTATAAAAATCACTTTAATTCAAAAAATAAAATTGTGTAGTTTTTAAAATTATTTAATAAAATTCACTTTTTGATGATTTAATTTTTTATTTTTTATAATGGTAAAATCATTAATGTCCATTATTTAAAATAAGTAATTTGTGTAACGACAATGCTACGTAACTCAAATTTTGTGGCTCAAAAGTGACTCAAATGGCCAAAACGACGTCGTTTTGAATACAGAACAACATAAACATTTGAGCCACAAAATTTGAGTTACGAGACATTTTTCTTTGTGTAATTATTACGAAAGACTGTTAAAATAAAAAATTATCAGTTGATTTTAAAGAATTACATTTCAGACTAATTATAAATTATCATATTTTTTTTATACTTTTCAATTACTTAACTTAAAAATAATAAATTTTTCCCTTCTGCCAAAATATCACCTAACGTAACGTTCTCTTTTAATCAACCAATAATTTGTCGCTAAAATAGTATATAAGCAGTGAAGACATTTTGACCGGTCGTTTGTCCGTACTCACCCCCCGACCCTTCAAGTCTGCAAAATAACAAGGAAGAAGAAAAGGACTTGGACTTCCGACTTCCTCACTTTACACACCACAAAAATATCCACAAACAGAGAGAGAAGTGATAAGATCTGGGGGAGTGAGAGAAGCTGAGAGATGATGGATAAAAGCTGTCATTCCTCTGGTGACTCTACTAGTAGCAGTAACACCACCACCACCAACTCCAACAACAACAATAACAGAGATCAATACATCAGACATCTCAACAAAATCTCTCACAGGATCTCTAAACCCACCAGGAGACCCACTTTTGATCACCAGCAGCAGCAGCAGCAGCAGGATGATGTTATTCAACAACCACCGCCACCGCCACCGCCGCCGCAGCAGACGCAGAATCTACCGCAGCAGCCGCCGGTGTACAACATCAAGAAGAGCGATTTCAGAGATGTGGTTCAGAAGCTCACTGGGTCTCCGTCTCACGAGCGTTTCTCTACTCCTCCCCCTATTCACCCACCCAAGCCTCCTAGCTCTCGTCTCCAGCGAATCCGCCCTCCCCCTCTCGCCCCAATTACCAATCGCCCCCCTCCCTCGCTAAACAACGCCGTCCCCCCACATCCACCACCACCAACTCAGAGCCAGCTGGCGCCTCTCTCTCCTCTTCCGCCGTTCCCGGCTGTGCACGCGGCGGCTGAATCGCCGATCTCCGCCTACATGCGCTTCCTCCAGAGCTCATTCGATTCCGATCCGAAGAGATTCCCTGGACTCTCGCCTCTAGCCCCCCTGGTTTCTCCTCGGTGGAACAATCTCCCTCAGCCGCCGCCACAGCAGCAGCACGTTCTTCCGCCACCGACATCAGGTTCCATGGCTCAATCACCCTTTCCGATGCCCTTTTCGCCCCTGCCTTTCGGTTGCTTTCCTTCGCCGCGGTCTCCATATCATCTGATTTCGCCTTCGACGACCGGTCAATTAGGGTTTCAACCGTTTCCTCTGTCGCCAACTCTACCAGTTCCGAGCCCTAGGTGGAAAGATCTTTGAAATGGTGTAGAACTCCACACTCCAAGAGTTGGAAAGGAAAGTCTTTTTAGGGTTTGTAAGCGTTATACATATGTGTGTATGGTGGGGGTTTAAATTCAATGGCCAGTTGTTGGAGAAATTGATAGCTGACACCTGACCTGGTTAATTAGAGTGTTTGTACTGTAAATGGTTGTTGGTTGTTTTTACATTACAGCTAGAAATGTTTAGAAAAGGATCCTGGGTTTGTTCTTTCTTTTTTGTTTCTTGATTCAAATTTGGAGTAGACAGTAATTGGAATTCTTCTGTTTTGTTGGGATGCGGTAGTGAAATAGATATATAAACTTGTAGTAGTTCTCTTTATATATTTGCCTATTAATATAGACATACATGCCTAAAAGCTATTTGATAAATTAGCTACATTGCATTTTTGATTTCTTTGTACAAGTTTTGGATTTGTCTTGTCTATATTAGCTTGTAAACTTGGGGGTTTTGGATTTGGGTTCTTGAAGCATGTAGAAGAACCACTACAGACTGGTCGCTCATTACATTACAAGATAGATGTGCATCTCCGTGACGCAAGTGGATGTGCTGCTCACATGTATTAGTGATTGTAGTTCTTGATGTGTGTATTACTATGTTAAATTACACATTGCAGGTGGATGCTATGAGAGAACAATGTGTTATATAGTTCGTGTAAACTTTTTGTTTTTAGTTATTCTTATCCAGTGCCTGTAGAAGACTTACGTGTGTAGTTGAGGTCGAGATGAAACTTGTTAAATTGGTTAAGCCTTTCATGAAAATGTGAAGATTTTAGTTCACAAAATTTGTCGGGGATCCAGTTTAGCCATTGATTATTTGTAAATTGTCGTTGTAGGTGGGACTGTTGTAATTTTGAAACGTTGAAAATGTGCCTTAGTTAGGTTTTGATGAAGTCAGAGTGCTCTAGCTGCAAGAAACTTGTATACTATGTGATTGTTTTAATTTTGAAATATTGAAAACATGCCTTAGTTAGGTTTTGATGAAGTCGCAGAGTGCTTTAGCTGCAAGAAACTTGTATACTATATGATACTTTTTTCTGAAATTGCAATTCTAGTCTCCTGATATGGGAGCTTATGGACCTCACCATTCTGCAGCAAGGATTTATTATTGTCGATATCTTTGGCTATGTTATATTACTGGTATTACTTGAATCGGAGGAAAAAAAACCTTTCTTTTATTTTGAGATAGCTTTGTTGAGTATGAAATGTGTGCTATAGCTTTTTCTAAGGTGTGCATATGAATACTTGACTCTGTTTTATAGGTTGTTAGAGACTTTCCCTTCTTGCACTCCTATATGACATGCTTGCGCATAATTGGATCTAAACTGTGTGCAAGTGATAATAGGATTGTATATTACTTAACTAGGAGTCGAGTCTGATCTTTTCTTATTGAAGTTCTTGATTGATGGAAGTGTTCATTTACAAAGATTATCCAGCTTTTATTAACTCACGAATGCCATTTTTAAAACAATCAATTAGAAAGAAAAGCATTTTTGTCCTCTATGTTGTTTGTTAATGGAAAACTATATTTCTAGGAGAAATGGATGAGAAGTGTATGATTCAAGCCACTTCATGTATTTATCTATCATGTCTTTTTTATTTTTATTTTTATTTTTATGGTGGTGGGGGCAGATTGATTTTCGTATGTAACCAAACCCTCTAGTTTCTTTGAGGGCTTTTTACATGATATGGTGCATCATTCCTCCAGTGGGGTTAAAAGGTTGATGCTGTTGGCCTTGGCACTTTTTTTTGGGTTGGAGATAACTTTTGCACGTATGCATCTACATCATCAAGCAGTTGGAATGGTCTAAATCCCTGGTGACTTCTCAATCTAATCATAATCTTCAGTTTTTCGTTTAGCTTCTGGTCCAACTTGGAATCTATTGGATGACTTTGCCAAAGTTTCTTCCAGACAAACTGAGAGGTTTGATTTTAAACGCCAGTTGGCGTAGAGAATCTTTTTAAAGTATTTTATATGGATTCTGGTATTCTTTTTCTTTTTTCTTTTTTCTTTATTTTTTTATTTTCAGCTTTTTATATAAAAAAAAAATTACTAATCATTTTAAACATTGTTAACTAATATCCTTGGTTCATTTGTTTATAAGAAACTTGCATTAGATATATTATGTGTAAAAAAAAATAAATGTTGTGGTTGGTTGTGTTTGGGTTATTTTGGGAAGTAAGTTAAAAATTAATTTTTTGATATTTTTTTTAGACAAAATATGTAAAAAAATAGAGTTAATGTGATTTAAAAGAGTATAAAAGTCAAAAAGTGATTTTTAATCAACTTCTCAAGCCTTAGTGTCAGTATTTTCTTTCTGAGTAATACTACAAATCTACCCTTATCAATCCAAAATTTTCATCTTATAATTCAGATTTATTTTACACATAGACCTAACATTATATAAATTTAATTTTCATCATACAATTCCCTACTATCCAGAAAATTCCAGATGATAAGTCCGCCCTGAGTTTTCCTTTGTTTCTTACACGTGGTTTATAGACAATCCATTGGCCACCGTGACTTTTTTTTCTCAGAGGTCACGCGTAGGAGTGGAATGTGTTGGAAATTCTTATTACTACCTCCCATGGGTGGTCCAGTTGTCAAGGCCTCCATAGCGACTTTGGGCAATCTTTTTTGATGATGTGCTCGGCCTTGATAGATGTGGTTCGCGATTGTTTGTGTCCAAGATTTACTCTAGTGCTGTGTTTAGTTGGGAGATTTTCAGGGGGCGGGATGTAATTTCCGAAACCTCAGGGGGGTATCTGTAATTTAACCAAACCTGGAGGGGTGTATATGTAATTTGCCCAAATTCTTATTACTACCTCCCATGGGTGGTCCAGTTGTCAAGGCCTCCATAGCGACTTTGGGCAATCTTTTTTGATGATGTGCTCGGCCTTGATAGATGTGGTTCGCGATTGTTTGTGTCCAAGATTTACTCTAGTGCTGTGTTTAGTTGGGAGATTTGGGTAGGGATTTAGAAAGGAAAAAGGAAAATATGTGTGAAATTAGGTGAAATGTAGATATATTTTATTCACATTTCACCTAACTTTTCCCTTTCCCTTTCCAATTCCCTCCTCAAATCCCCCTACCAAACACAGCGTAGAGGGTTGGGTTCAAAGTATCCTGGTTTCTGGAAATGGAAAGCATGAAACTAATTCAAAAATGTCTAATGCTGTGTTTGGTTAGAGGATTTGGAGAGAGATTTGGAAAGGAAAAGGGAAAAGGTGTGTGAAATTATGTGAAATATAGGCATGATTTATTCACATTTCACCTACTTTTTCCATTTCCCTTTCCAAATCCCTCCTTAAATCCCTCAACCAAACACAGCATAAAAGCCTCTCAAATACAGTAACTATACTAGGAATTTAAATTTGTCCACACATTTTGGGAGTACGTGAACATAGCATAAAATCTATTTAGTCTAAAATTGTAAACCCTATATTCAAGAAAATGTATTAACTTTACTTTTTGAATCAAACTTGTGTTTCATTCAAAATCAAACTCGGTATATTAGTTGTCATTGCTATAATATAATAACTTGGGCAAAAAGAAGAGTTCTAATGGCAGGTAAAGCAGTTAAATTTGGACATTGCTATGTCTTATATGACATAAGATTTGATTAATTGTTAAATGTTGATAAGAGCTTCCTTTTTCTTGATGGGTCCTTAAATCTTATTTATATTTAACTTTTTAACAAAATTATATTTTAATTATTGAGGTAAAGTTTCCAAATTTTAATATTTCGAGTACTTAATAGGTTAACATTTGGTTTTGAGTTTTGACATTTCATTTGACACATTCAATACCGTAAGCAGTTTATTAAAATGTTTTATGATTGATTTCCAGAGTCTGTAAAAATGCTAGAGGCCTTCTAATAGAAAAGGAGTTCGACTTGGGGGTCATAATTGGACTTTTCCAAATTTAATTTTTAGAATTTTTCAGAGGTCCCAATTTAGAAGTGTCTAAAAAGTGTCCCAATTTTTCAGTTTATTTTTCTGTTTTGTAACTCTCTCCAAACTCAAGTTGGTTTGTGTCTAATCTCCTTGAGTTTGAGGGGGGCTGTTAAACCCACTAAACCTAACCCACTCCACCAAACCTACCTCCACCACTCACTACTCACCTACTCCTCACCTACCACCACCTAACCTACATCTATATAATCAATCAATTGTAACAGAATCAAGAATCAATAAATCAATTCATCAATCAATAATACATCTATTTTAACATGGTATCAGAGCAAGGTTAAAAACTTAGTATTTTTTTTCGCTTTACCGGCGGGGGGGGGCCTCGCCTTGGTCGCCCGCCGGACCTCAACCTAATCCGCTTATTGTTTTTACACATACCTTCACTTTCCTGCATCTTCCAGCTCATCAACAAAAATCACCACCGCCTACCACGGCTTCGCCGCCTCTCTCACTCCACACCACTCGAACCCCTGCGTTTCTCGGTCTCGACACCCAGATGGGTTTATGGGATGGTCCTCACACGGCGACCACAGCCGGAGGAGCCAATGTGGCTTTGGATGTACTTCAAATGCCTCAGGTCACATGTTCGAAGATTGGTAGAGAGAACAAAGGAAGGAAAGAGAACTCTTTGTCTCTCTCTCTACTCTGACTGAGAAGGATGCAGGCCATTACGGGGCACCAATCTTTGAAGCCCTCACCTGCGATTTCTTATCTCAAATCCATCTACCCTCTCTCTCATCATTACTATGGTGCTGATCATCCGCGGGACACCCACACACCGAAACAAGAGAGGGAAATGATCAAATCCAACTTCCAGAAAAATCAACAATGGAAAAGGGGCGGAGAAGGAGGGTGCCTTCCCAGGAAAGTGGGACTCATTACATGAGCTTTTTTCGCAGCTTTTACAGACAATATGAAGAACATGTGCTTGAGCAGTGCCTTCTCTCTCTCCATAGACACACGCACACAGAACTCACACACACCCACGAGATTTCTGATGCCAACATTTTTTTTTTAATCATAACCCCCCCTTCAGCGTATACTGATTGGCCTCCACATCCGACTGCACAGCCATTTTTTGCTCCACCGACTGCATCGGAAAGTTCAACGGAGCAAACCCAGTGGTGTTTGGTTGAGGTTCACGGGACACCGCACCTGCTATCTCTCTTGTGGACTCGTTGAGGTCGGGAAAGAGAGTAAGTAGACCACGGGACGACGAAGCCATTTTCTCTCGCAACAGAGTGTTACAGACTCTCTCTCTCAGCACAACAGTGTTACAGCCTCTCTCTCTCAGCACAACGCAGACTTCTTCAGAGGTTTCTCTCAGTTTCTTGTCTGAGCCTCTGCCTC